TTTCCGGCGAATATCCAAGGTTCCGGGAGCTGGGCTGGCCGGGGAAGAGAGAGGGAGAGGTGGCGGTTCGAATGGGACAGGTCTCGAGGGCTGAGGTGGCCGGACGTGACGGCTGTGAGGATTTTTCTGATCAGGTGAATAGTGAAACACGGGGGAGGGGGAATTCGCAGAGGAAGGAGACGCGGGAGAGAGAGAGAGAGTGAGGTAGAAAATGAAAATTCTGATTTTTACCAAACTCTTCGAAATATTTACGGTTCCGCCATCGAGCTTGTTTTGATCGCCAAAACTTCGTTAAATCTCCGATTCAAGCCTACCGCCTGTCTATGGTTTCGTCTCAGTACCACCTACACAACCAAACCACTCGTGGTCCCAAAATCTTCCCGGATAAGAAATTGACCAAAATTACCCTTAACCCAAGAGTAAATTAATATTTTCTTTTAATTTAATTAAAATAGGAAATAATTGGAGTCGGGGTGTTACAGATTTGGAGATCTTTCCAAATTCAATGTGTGTTATTAGTTACACCCTCATATAATACGTTAACTTGTAAATAGGGGTAGTTTTGGAATCTGAAAAATATAATAAATCATATTTTAATCTATATTAAGTAACTTGCTTACTTGGATCCTAGTAATTGGGTTTTATTTGAAAAAATTGAGTATTTTAAATAGAAAAATAAAGGAAAGAGTTGTAGGTGATTAAAAATAAATTTTAACAAAAATGTAATAGACATAACTATCTTTACTAATTAGTATTTGAGACAAACAATATTTCTGTTTGGGCTTTAATACCTAGGAATGAAATTTTGTTTTGGATTTGGCCAAAGAGGAGGCCCAGATTCGTTGGCCCACCTTATATTAATAACTGAAAAGACAATTATACCCTTTTTGTTTAAAAGATTAATTGTTTCCCCTTTTTTATTATTTTTTTTATTTTTATCAGATTAGATCTCTCTCTCTCTCTCTCTCTCTCTCTCTCTCTCTCTCTCCACAGCAATGATGACCACAGCCTTCACATGCTATAGAATTCTTAAGCTGCTCATTCCTTCGGCCTTCACCAGCAACTCCAAGGTTTTCTGGCTCAAGATGAAGAGCATTACAATCACTATCTTGCTGAGTTCAAGATCGGCGCTGATCACAATGACCAATCAACCCTATTTGATCTCATTCTGGTATGTCAAAACCCTATATGAACTCTCATAACGATTTGCTTCTTGGTCGCGATTGTAGTGTTTTAAAGATTATATTGCTTTTTTGCCTTCTTCCTTTGAGGGTCAACGTTCAAGTCCATTCAATGACACAATTTTTTTTATTTTAAAAAAGGTGAATAAAGGGCAACGGAATTGGTCCCCTGCAGACGGTGGCAGGCCTGCGACGGGCGGTGGTGATGGCAGGTGGTCGGCGGCGGGAGTCTGACGGTGGTGGCCGGCGGTGGTGTTGGCAGGTGGCCGGCGACGGGATTCCGGCAATGGTGGCCGGCGGCAGTTGGCCGGTGATGGTGGTTGGCTAGATATGGACATGTGGCATAATATGCTTGCCTTAGAAGGAGTGGCATTGTGTGTAATTTTGATATTTTTTAATGATATTTTTGTAAAATTAGGTACTACATTTGGTTTTTGATCTTTGGTCTAAACTCAATTTACTATTATATTATACATACAAAAGAGTCCTCATATGAGGAAAAAGAAGATGTTTTTAACATGTTAGAACCGGCCTGTGCGCACAAAAACCTTGACTAATCAGTTTTGGTTCACATAGAGGAAGGTGCGGTAGTGTTGTGAAACGCGCAAAGACCTTGACTAATGAAATCAGTGGAAACCACTACCACTTGTGTGGTGTTTACTGGCATTATATATAATAGAAGGAAGGTGGTTTGGATTGGGGATAGGAGAAGCGAAACTTTGTACCCGACTGGCTATCATAAAAATGGTTCCATCCAAAGCGAAACTTTGTAGCTACCTGATGAGTCTCTTCATTCTAATGTTGTTGTTCTCATCCAAAGCAGCGTTTGCCAGAGTTTCCCACTTTTCAGAAACCAGTTAGTCTCTTTCCCAAATATACATACATATATATATATATATATATATATATATCTTCTATGTATGTGTGTTATGTTCGTGCTCAACGAAACTTAGAGTTTTCATCAAAAAGGTGTATTTGCATATATCTTTGATTACAATTAGATGTATGAATGATTTTCAATTGGACTAACCTTTTGCAAGAGAATCTTTAAATAGAGACTATAAAGAATTTATATATTGTTGAACTACAATGCCATGTGGGGCCTCTCAAGGGATCCTCATTTTCTGGAAACAATAGAAATCTCTCTCTACGAGGGTCATGTATATGTATGTATACGTTTATCAATTGTTTATCATGATTGATTATTAATCAAGTTTTTTTATTGTCATTGCAGAACAGAACAAAGGTAGAGAGCTTCTGAAAATGAATAATATTCACCTGGCAAAGAAAATCAACGCAAATGACCCAATTGGCTCGGGTCCATCGATTCCGTGAACGGGATAAATTAAAAATCATACCTATATATTTGAAACATCTACTGGCCGGCCCGGACTGAGCTAGCGGTAATAAAGCCGATGGGCGGTGGTCAGCTGACCCTTCTCATATTTGGCATATATAATATTTGATTGTATGTTTGAATTTTATATGAATGTAAGGATTTACATAAAGGATGATGGATTCACTGCACATGATATGAAGACGGTAACTGATGACCTCATCATTTCCAGTGAATTGTAACAGGGCTACGATTTACAAATAATTAATATTTACCATTCACAAAATGTTGGATTGTAGGTTGAAGGGAGTTTACGACAATAAGAATAATAATTGAAACAAAATGATCTAATTAGACTGGAGAAAAAGAATACATGACTTTGTGTACATAGGACTATAGGCTATTGGGACTAACTTGAAAATTTTCACCTCCAAAAACAACTATTTGCCCGAACTCAAATATTTTTTGCATCCATTTGAAGGTGAACTCTAACCGGTAGAGCAGAGGATATTAAAATGTAAAGAGTGTAGGGTTAAAAAATAAGATTTTTGGGATCAAATTGTTGGGAAAGATGGTGAAAAATAAAAGAGCCAATAAATAAATTTGGCAGTCTCAAGATCTGACTTTCCCCAACCTTGTGTAAATAAAATGGGCAAAAAATAACACTCAATATTTTTCACTATGAAAATAATGGGAATACAATAATAATCTCACCAAACACCGGTGACTAAACTCCCTCTTGATTTTTCTTTCAAGATGATTTTCTCTCTCATAGAAGTGAGGTTTTCTTATCTCTCAAAACTCTCTAAGTTTTGGTTTTCTAAGGGATATATTGAACTAAAAGAAGGCATTTATAGCCAACATTCCTAACTAAGTTGGTGGCCATGAATAAAGGAGAGTTTTTCTCCTTTTCTCTCCCATTCGATTTCTTCAAATTCTCTCGTCATTTCTTTCATTTTATGTTACTATTTATTTTCCTTCTTTTTCTCTCCTCCACTAATGAGGGAAACTCATCAATCTCCCCCTCCTGACTTAGATGGAGGGCTTCAGCAGTCCAGCTGCTCTTCTGCAAAATTTGTATTTGTCCTTAGGTAAGGACTTGGTCATCATATCTGAACTATTGTCATCAGTATGGATCTTCTCAAGCTGTAATTTCTTGGACTCCAACACATCACATATCTAGTGATATCGCACTTCAATGTGCTTCAACCTCGAGTGAAAACTCGGATTCTTGCTCAAGTGGATCGTGCTCTGACTATCATAATGCAAAATTTTGAAAAATTATAAAAAAAAAATTCATAATTTTTTGTTATAAATACCTAGCAATTTATTATTATTATTCTCATATATATAAATAAAATTAATCTTACATGAATAGTAATTTTCCTTAGGTTTTCATGGCAATGGGTGGAGAAGCACATAAAAAAAAATAATAAAAAAAGCTAGTGCAGACATTATTCACATGAACAGTAACCACCCTTGCTTGCTCTTGTCCTCTGTCATGGCAAATGGGTGGAAGTGCTCTAAAGGAAGCTTACTACTATTTCAGACTGTTTTTAATATAAAATCGAAGTGTGGATCAGTATTAACCGTCGAATTAAATCAAACGGTAGGTGACCACTATATTCTTAAAATTGAAACAAAATGATCTTATTAGACTAGAGAAGGATGATACGCGCAAAGACCTTGACTTTATAGTTTTGGTTCACGTAAAGGAAGGTGTGTGGGTTGTGAAACGCGCAAAGACCTTGACCTTAGTGTAATCAGTGGAAACTACTACCACTTGTGCGGTGTTTATTGGCATTATATATAATAGAAGGAAGGTGGTTTGAGATTGGGGATAGGAGAAGCGAAACTTTGTACCTGTCTGGCTATCATAAAAATGGTTCCCAGGGGTAGCTACCTGATGAGTCTCTTCATCCTAATACCGTTGTTCTCATCCAAAGCAGCATTTGCCAGAGTTTCCCACTTTTCAGAAACCAGTTAGTCTCTTTCCCAAATATACATATATATATATATCTTCTATGTATGTGTGTTATGTTCGTGTTCAACGAAACTTAGAGTTTTCATCAAAAAGGTGTATTCGCATATATCTTTGATTACAATTAGATGTATGAATGATTTTCAATTGGACTAACCTTTTGCAAGAGAATCTTTAAATAGAGACTATAAAGAATTTATATATTGTTGAACTACAATGCCATGTGGGGCCTCTCAAGGGATCCTCATTTTCTGGAAACAATAGAAATCTCTCTCTACGAGGGTCATGTATATGTATGTATACGTTTATCAATTGTTTATCATGATTGATTATTAATCAAGTTTTTTTATTGTCATTGCAGAACAGAACAAAGGTAGAGAGCTTCTGAAAATGAATAATATTCACCTGGCAAAGAAAATCAACGCAAATGACCCAATTGGCTCGGGTCCATCGATTCCGTGAACGGGATAAATTAAAAATCATACCTATATATTTGAAACATCTACTGGCCGGCCCGGACTGAGCTAGCGGTAATAAAGCCGATGGGCGGTGGTCAGCTGACCCTTCTCATATTCGGCATATATAATATTTGTTTGTATGTTTGAATTTTATATGACTGTAAGGATTTATATAAAGGATGATGGATTCACTGCACATGATATGAAGACGGTAACTGATGACCTCATCATTTCCAGTGAATTGTAACAGGGCTACGATTTACAAATAATTAATATTTACCATTCACAAAATGTTGGATTGTAGGTTGAAGGGAGTTTACGACAATAAGAACAATAATTGAAACAAAATGATCTAATTAGCATGTATCAATGATTTTCAATTGAACTAACTTTTTGCAAGAGATATTTAAATAGAGACTAAAAAAATTTAGATTTTATTCAGCTACAATGCCATGTGGGGCTTCTCAAGGGACCCTCATTTTCTGGAAACAATAGAAATCTCTCTCTGCAAGGGTCATGTATATGTATGTATACATTTATCAATTGTTTATCATGACTGATTATTAATCAAGTTTATTTATTGTCATTGCAGAAGAGAACAAAGGTAGAGAGCTTCTGAAAATGAATAATATTCACCTGGCAAAGAAAATAGGCGCAGACGACCCAGATAGCTCGGGTTCAGGTGGGACTCCGTGAACGGGATAAATTAAAAATCGTACCTATATATTTGAAGCATCGACTGGCCGGCCCGGACTGAGCTAGTGGGACTAAAGCCGAGGGGTGGTTGTTCAGCTAACCCTTCTCATATTTGGCATATATAATATATGATTGTATTTGAATTTTATATGACTGTAAGGATTTATATAATGCTTAATTACTGTAGTGCCCTGCAACTTTGGTCAAATCTCGCTTTACCCTCCGAAAGTTAAAATGGCCCACTTAACCCCCTTTACCAAGGTTTTGTGTTCCACTTTGCCCCCTACCATTATCTCCATTCATAACTCCGTCAATTTTGAGGACATGGCAGGGCTATTTTAGTCCTTTTTTCACGAGTGATGATGTGTCATGTGCAGACTCCACTTCTTTTTTTTTTTTTGGGCTTAAAGTGGACTAAAATATTAATAAAATAAAAAATTAATTACTTATTTAATTAAAAAAATTGAAAAATTAATATCAAAAACTTATATTCTTCTTTATCTCTCTCTTTTCCCCAGCAACCACCGCACACCAACCCCTTCTATTCTCCACTGCCATCTCGTATATCCCTCTACCATATAAACCACCAACACCTTGTGAGGGGTAGGAAAAAAATGAGAGGGAGATGGAAGTTAGGGTGAGAGTTTGAGAGGGACTGAAAAAATTGAGAGGGAGATGGAGGCTAGGGTGAGAGTTTGAGAGGGAGAGCGTGAAATTTTTTGGACTAGCGTTGACTACCCTTTAGGCATCTGTGGCTTTTTTTATTATAAAAAAAATGTCTCCCTTAACAAAAAAAGAAAAAAAAAAGAAAAAAAGAAAAAAAGAAAAAGGCAAATCACTTTAGGCATCTGTGATTTTGAGAGTTGATGCTTAAGGGGAATCAAATACATCTTCATTAAAAAACTAAAAATTTGTACTAATGTCTTTATACCTGTTTAGTATCGTTATTTGGAAAATCGATGCCTAATGTACTAATAGCATTGATTTTTCGTTTTATCGATGCCTGTATATTGTTGCTGGAAGTGAAATTTGGCATAGTGACCAAACTGTACAATCAAGAACTTCCATTATAATATCACACATAATATAGAGCTCATGAAATTTAATTAGATCAATCCCTATAAAGGCCCCCAAGAAACCCCTACCTTGACACCAAAGCTTTTGCTAGAAATGTAATGTGTTTCCCAGTTTTCCACTGCATTCACAAACTCAGTCTCCCATTCTATCTTCTTTTCTCTCTCACTTTCTCCTTACTATAAGAAAACTGGGTATTTACGACGTGTGATGCGCATCATAAATGACAATTCACGGCGTGCTGCTGCATGCCATAAAAGACCGTGCCGTTAAAAGTATTTTTCTTTTATGGCGCGCATTTGCTTGCCGCAAGCGTTAATAATGCACGCCATGATTGCGCTTTTGTAAAAGTTTGGACAACTATTTACGGCGTGCCCTGCACACCATAAAAGAGTTATTACGGCATTCAATGCACGCCATAAAAGAGGGTTTTTATTCCCATTTAAGGCGTGTTTTGCACGCTGTGTTTGACTTTTTTTTTTAATAATTAAAAAATAATAATTAATTTCCTCCCTACTCTTGTTTCATAGTAACAAAATACTTGAATCTTTTATTACCCTGGAAAAAAAAAATAGTATTGCAACCAAACTTAAAAAGAAAACTTATACCAATCATAATCAATTCCAAATACAAACTCTTTAGAGTATAAAAGAAACACATAAAAGTGTTGCCAAACCTACAATTAACTTGTTCACAAAACCTACAATTAACTTGTTCACAATCTCTCCAACCCATTCACTCATGAATATAATAACAAAAATCAATCTCTAACATATCAAACCACATCTAACCTATGCTCAAACTGTGCAGTAGGGCTACCATCAGCTGGTTGTCCAATTATCCAGTCATGTTTTTGTTGTTGCTTCCAAATATCCTGTCAGCAACAGAACCATAAACTCCAATTTTTCTGGTATTATATGATCAAGTAGGTAGTTGTGTGTGTAAATTAAGTTTACCTTGACATTCATCAATTGAACCACCAACTTATGTCTTGACATGAGCTTTTAGAAAATTGTTGTTGCTCCTGCACCACCAGAGAAACTAACTCAATTTCAGCTATTGTGTATTAAACTTTAAACTCTACCAAATTACATGCATCCTGAATCTGATTAAATAAACTTTGAAACCATATAAAATTTGACAGAAATGGTGCTCTAATTTATAAGACAAGGCAGTCCAAATAAGAGTTTCAAAACTGAAACTGCAGCCCTTGTTTTTGACTGATTTTATAGTCATGCTTACCAAACTCAGGTATCAAACTTCAACCAAATTACTATCCTGGATATGTATAGTTTAAAACCAAGTACTTGTGCCTCAAAACTAACCCACAACCTATGGATATGTATAGTTTACCAAACTCAGTCATCTTATGGGCTCCAAATAATGCACACTGAATAGATGTTCCTTCGGCACTCCTACAGGTACCCTAGGGTTTCCCCAGTGAACTATGGATACCCTCGATCGGTTGTGAAATAGGTTTGGTAGTTGCCTCTCTACGGGCAGAAGTGGAGGTCTCCGATTGATAGCAGGTGTGCTCGTCCGACACCCGAGTACCCCCCGTATGGAACTCGCAGTGCTGGTTCGCATCGGCATGACTACTGTCGCTATATACCACAGCCAACAGTACTGGCTGGCTTGTCATAAGTCCCTTCCCGATGCCGTGGGTAGGAACGGAACTTGTCCCCTCACCGAGTATTTTGACATCGGTATCTTTTCCACCCTCAGCATCGAAGCTTACGGCCTCACTATTTGTATCTCCCTGATCGTCAGATGACTCCCCATCTAACGCATTGGGCTCTCTCTTGAACGGAGACTCGCTATTGGACATTTACAAAACACAGGAAAAAGGAAACTAAGGGCCATGCAGAAGACTAGCCTATCGATACCTACATAGCTACTTATGGCAACCAGACTACTGAACGAAACCCTACTTGCACAAAGTTCAGTCTAGCTCGTGCTAAGGAAGGACGTGCACAGAATAAGTAAAAGTATTTCAAAGAGTGCCGAATGGTACCTTATCTCGAACTATGGATGAAGGAATATGGTATGAACTGCTGATTGGTTTCATCGGAAATCGCCTTGATTGCCGTTAGCCCTCTTCGGAAATCGCTTGAATAGAGCTCTCGCTTCACTCACAAATGCAAAGTGAACTTCTCATCCAGAGCCACTCCTATTTATAGGGCGAGGGATTGAAACGGCACGCCTTGAAAAACCAAACGGCGCATTAATAGAGCTGCTACACATGAGTGGACACACCATGTGTCATTCTGGGTGCGGATGTCCTGACAGCAAGTGGGGC